CAGGCCCTTCAGGTCCAATATTGCTCTCCACCCTCCTGATGTCTTTGGAATAACGAAGAGGATGGAATAAAATCCTCTTCCCTCCTCTTCCTTTGGTACCCTCTCTATGGCTTGAATTGACAGGAGGTGAGCTATGGCCGAAGTTATCAGCCTCGTCTTGTGTACCTTTCTGGAGATGGGGCATCTGATGAACCGGCTTGGTGGGGGAGAACAAAAGTCTAAGGTCAGGCCATGCCTGATCGTTTCCAAGACCCAGGCGTCGGTGGTGGTCTGCTCCCAGACCTCGATGAAGTTTCCTAACCGACCCCCGATGGGAGTGTCCTGTTTGGCGTCACTTGGTACGCTTAAAGGATCTGCCTCCCGCTCCCCTATATGGGCGTCTGGACTGGAACTGGCCTCTGGCTCCCGGGCTTTGGCGATCCTGGGTTCGATCCTGTCTCGGATAGAAGGATCGTGAGCCTCTGGGCCAGTCCCAGGATTGCCCTGATCGAAAGGGCTGTCTCCATTCCCAGGGGCTTCCTGGGCGGGAGCCCTGTCTCCGGAAGTCCTGACTGCCTCTCCTGTCTAACTTCTTTGATGGATGCACTAGGATTTTTTTCTTGTCTCTGCCTTCGCTGACGTGTGGGTCCAGAATGGAACCAAACAGGGCTTCTCCACTGTATTTGGACGTCGAAAGACGCCATTTGGACCTCAGGTCTGTCTTCCAATTTTTGAGCCACAGTAGCCTTCGCGAGGCCACTGTGGCCGCAATGGACCTTGCCGCATACTTTGTTGCGTACAGTGAAGCGTCAGACACGAATTGAGAGGCCGCGAGGAGCTTGGCCAATGTTTGGTGTACTCTGACCTGGTCTGGAGGCACCGTGCCTTGCAGTTCCCTCAGCCACATGATACTGGCCCTCGCGAAGAATGATGATGAAGTGGCTGCTCTGGCCGCCCAGGCTGCGGCCATATGGGAACGCCGGAGGGAGTGTTCAAATTTCTTCTCCTCAGGTCTCAAGACCTCCGCCATGTCTCCTGGAATCGCGGAGGTAGAAAATAATGAGATCAAGGGGTTATCTACAGTGGGAACCTCTAACATGTTAGAGAAGGAGGGAGATAGGTTGAAAAGCTTTCTTTCCGCGCTGTTAGGTGCCGGTGGGCTCGCAAGTGAGGACCATTGTTCCTCCAGCGTGGTCATAAAGACCTCCGCACATGGGATGTACTTATCCTGTGGAACCTTTTTGGCAAATAGAGGATTGGCCTCCTTGCTTGTTGAGGGCTTCTCATCCTGTACTGATGTTAGGTTGACTGTGGAAACTGCCTTTATCAGGAGTGATTTTAGGAGCGCTGGGTTAAAGAGGCCAGAGCTTGTCGCCTGCTCAGGTGCGGTCTCCTCGTCCTCCGAGAGGGGCATGTCTGACATGTCCAGGTCTACTGAGTCACCCTCTCCCAATTGAGAGGAAGTTTCAGAGATGCTGGTAGGGGGCGGCCTAGCCCGTCCCTTACGGGGTGTGTGAAAGGCCACTTGCCCCTTAGAAGCCATGAACTGGGAGAATGCATCCTGCATGAATGCATGAAATTGTGCCGACCATATGTTCTCCTGCGCCTTGTCGCTGGAGTGAGGCGCTGGAGTGTGGTCGGGTGAAGAAGCTGGTGAGGAGGGATTGGAGGAATCTAACTGTTCAGTTTCCCCAGGAGGAGACCAAGTCTTGAGCACTTCCTCGGCAGTAGGTTCTGTGCTGGGTGCCACCCCTGGGACAGGGGAAACCAAATTTGTCCCATTGACATTGGTTCTCTGTGCTCTGCTAATTTGCCTTTCTAAAGCCAAATGTCTCCTCAAAGCCTCTCGCTCAGCCGTTTTAGACTGTCCCTTCTGAGAAAGGTGCTTTGTTTTAGCTTTCTTCTTCCCCCCCACCTCTGATTCAGAAGATCTGCGTTTTTGTTGTTGCTGTGGGGGGGACAATTGAGGGACCTGTGTGACTGAATACGAGACATTGTCTGCCATTGTGCCAGACACCCCGAGTAGGCAATGCCTGGAAAGGGGGAATGAGATACGCAGATCAGATGCAGATGCTTGGGGCTGTGCCCTCTTCTGCCTATACAAACAATGGCCGGACAGACAGGAATCTTTGGACAGAAGATCCTGCAAGGCAGTGACTAAAGGTCACTATAGGAACAGTTAGGAAAAGAAAAAATATTCCTCCTCACCTCCTCACCTAGTCCAGACAAAAGTACAGTTTATATCTCTCTCTCCCCCGGTCTGTGGCTGTGGTAGCAGACCACGCTCAGAACTGATAGAGGTTCTAATCTTTTATTCCTCTTCCTTCCTCTTGCCCAAGTGTCTTAATGTAAAGGAAAAAAGCGGCGGCTAAACTGCTCGTTTAAAATGGCGAATGGGAGGAAGCCCCGCCTCCCAATAGTAGCCGGATGAGCCACGAGGCTCCAACAATGGCGGGTCTTTAATAGCCAGCAATAGGGTAATTAACCGGCTTGAATGGCTCTTTTGTCCTTAAGGGGGCTGTGCCTCTCCGCTGGGGGAGAAAAAACGGCGCTGAGGCTCTGCCGGTCGGTTTGGGCGCGCTGCGCTTCTCGCGCCGCTCAGCTGATCAGCGCTCTGTTTTCCCGCGCCGCTCAGCTGTTTGGCGCTGAACGGCGCCTCAGCTCCTCCGCCGGACCGAGTGGCCTCCGTGCCACTCAGCTGCCCGGCGGGTGGTCCGGGAAATGTCCCCGCGCCAAACAGCTGTTTGGCGGGTCGGGGATCCGCGGAAGATCCACTGACCGGCCCGAGCCCCCCTGGCTAACCGCCCTGGCGATCCTCTCACCACTCCGACGATCCTGGCTGGGAGGCGTCGGTGTTCTATTCCTCTGCCCGGGATCCCTGCCTGCTGCAAAAAGGGGAGGAAAAAAAAAAAAAAACTGGAAGAGGATATTCTTTTCTTTGTGAAAACTCTTCTTTCCTAAGAGCTGCTTCTCGCACTTCTACCAGGCTTCGAGACTGAGTCAAAACTGGGGTCACGCCCCAAGGAAGGGGTGTGGCCGAAGTTTTTACCCAGTCTGCCAGGCAGGAAGGCCGTCATAGAACCCATCCATTTGGACTCTACAGCCATCCTGCTGGAGAAAAAGTATTTACAACCCAAATTTGAAGCTAGGACATCCACTTTCCCCCAGCCGTAGTCACATGACCATATCTTGGGTGCTCAACAACCAGCCCCATTTATAGCTGTTTGCAGCACCCCATGGTCAAGCTCATATGAAGTGTTAATACCACTTTACAATGCCTTGGTAAGGCCACACTTGGAATACTGCATCCAGTTTTGGTCACCATGATGTAAAAAAGATGTTGAGACTCTAGAAAGAGTACAAAGAAGAGTAACAAAGATGATCAGGGGACTGGAGACTAAAACAACCAAGAACTAAGGAGAAATTTCCTGACAGAACAATTAACCAATGGAACAATCTACCTCCAGAAGTTGTGAATGCTCCAACACTAGAAGTTTTTAAGAAGAGACTGGACAGCCATTTATGTGAAATTGTATAAGATTTCCTGCCTGAGCAGGGGGTTGGACTAGAATACCTCAAACATCCCTTCCAACTATATTATTGTTATTGTTATTGTCACGTGACTGTAATTTATGACATTTTTTGCCAGAAAGTGTTGTTTACTTCTGGTAACAATGGATTCACTTAATAATGCTGATGTTCACTGCTATGTTTGCTTTACAAATGCTGCATTTGCTTTACAGGCTACAAAAAATGGTCATAAAATCAGATTCTGTCACATGGTGATCGGCTCTACAATTGTCATGACTTACGACTGTAATTGCAGACTCAATTACGGGTCGTAACTCGAGGATTACCTGTATTTGTGGAATAAAGGCAGACATGATTGTTGAAAGGGAAAAGCCACATTAACTTCACTGAGGGGAAAGACTGCAGAAAAAAAATGGGTGGAATCCATGGACTGGAAACCTTCTCTATTTATAGGCCCACAAGGGTTTTTTTTGTTTTGTTTTGTTGTTTGTATAGCTATCTCTTATTCTACCCCTGGAGGCAACATCCTCCTTTTTCTCTGTTCCCTACTGTGCGGGGTTCTTCTCTTTTCTTCTAATTAGAGTGACCTTTTCCCCTTATCCTACCTCCCTCTTGGCCTCCTCCCTCTAAAGCAAGATGGAGGAGTTTGCATTTGTGTTGAGAGAGAGAATGACGCAATTTCTGTACTTTTGTTCTCTGGGATAATCCCTCTATCTCATTCCTTTTTTTTTGTTTGTTTGCTTACCGAGCTGTTTTTGCCAAGAACTCAAACTCCAATTTTGGAGACTTCAGAATTATCCACAGTTAGTACCTTTCCCTGGACTTCTCTTCTTTCCTGGTTCCAATCTTCATAGATTTTGCAGTCTTGCCTCTCTCCCTATTTATTGTATGATCCTACAGGTCAGGGGTGAGCAACCATGGCAACTTTACAACCAGTGGACTTCAATTCCCAGAATTCCTAAGCCAGCATAGTTAGGAGTTGGAGATCCACAGGTCATAAAATTGCCATGTTGCCCACCTGTGATCTATAGATCATAGAATATCTGCACATCATGTTTTCTTAAGCCTATGGCTAAAACACAGGCATGACTGCTACCCAATTGTTGCTCCTGTCCACAAGTGTTTGCCACGATCAAGCTCTAATTTAGCAGAGTTTGGCAACCCGACACTCACATTTGATTATGGATCTGTTCACCTAAAGAGAATCTGAAGCATGGCAGGAGGTTAGTTTGGTAATGGCTTCTTCTGATGTGATAAGAGTCAGTCAGCCTTCACGTCAGGCTAAATTGAGTTAAACAAACCACGGATAAGCCATGAGTAGTGCTGATTTGAGTGAAGAATTAGCAATTATCAGTCAACATGTTCAACATTTAACAAAGAACTTAAATAAATATGATCTGCTGACTGGCTCTGGAAGCCCCAATCCTTGCAAAAAAAAAAGGCCCCTCTATCGCCTGGGATGTTCATGCAGACACAGCCAAATTACCCACCTTGGGATACTGTCGATTGCATACTTCTGCCAGATGAAGTCCTGTTACCACTCCCAGCCTTGCCGCCAGACGTTGTAAGAGCAAACCAATGACAGTAGCCAACAAGAGAACCCAGAGTAGCTGAAAAACATAAAAATACACACAAAAAATGAAAAGCAGCCAGGATGGCAATGTTCTGGAAGATGAACAACAATCTAGGGGATTCTGCTAACTAAACAATATCTGCATTTCTGGAGATATTTATCCAAGCCCTCTCACAATCAAAACCTGTCCCAGAGAACCATACTTTACCTCAGACATATTTGGGCTTTTGTTCTGGAGAATTTAATGCTCAAATAAGAACATTCCAAATAGGTGTTTGCTACATAAACATTCCTCTGTTTGTGCAGAACTCTGGAAATTTGAAACATCTCAGAGAGATCCCTGTGCCTATTTTATCCAAAGAAACCCATGCTTCCTGGGGCCTGACTATGGAACTTTGCTGGTAGCAAAGACAGGTATTCAGTTAGATGTGACAATAAAACATAAGATCGAATAATTCTTTTTAAATGTGGGAAATCACAGGCATTGCTTCCAGTAATCTAACCAGCCAACCATGAGGCAAATTTATTAGAAAAGCTAATCGTCAAATAGTAATGAGAATCACTGGGGTAAAAATTTTGCTTTTTAAAATTTTGTTTTCATATTGTGAAACCCTAACCTTTAAAAAACAAAGTTTAAACATTTCAGATTCTTCCTGAGAAAGTTCCTTGTCAGCAACCTTCACTAGCATGCTTAAGGTTTCTGTGTTAATTTAGAAATAATGTGGCAGATTTGCAGGACTAATTGAAATTCTATTAGTTCTGTCCCCAATTTTATGGCATGCCTCTAGATGTTAAGAGGTAACCCATAATGAACAGTGCACATTCTGATGAATCAACCTAATACAGGGGTAGGCAACCAGCTCTTTTGTGACTCGTGGACTTCAACTCCCAGAATTCATGAGCCAGCATGGTTGGCTCAGGAATTCTGGGAGTTGAAGTCCACAAGTCTTAAAAGAGCCAAGGTTGCCTACCCCGACCTAATGCATGGCAATTAATCTTCAATGTGAATCAGTTCAATGTGACCAGATGTAAGAACACAATCCAAGAAAATTCTCCTCTATTTTGCTTTATTGTCATTCCCTAATATTGCAAAATCCCATTTTCAAACATTTTCAATGTACATTTTAAGGAAAGCGTCTACAAAAAAAATGTGTTTAGAAAAATGTTTGTTTTGATCACTGCCCCTGAATTGAATTGTTAAGACATTATTCAGATCAATCTCTACAACAGGTTTCAAAGTGAAAGGTTTTACAAAAAGACAGATTAGCTACTTACCTTAAATCCTGCAACTGCCCCAGACTGTAGATCTGATTCAATGTTACCTGGATCCAGGTAGGCAATGCTCATTAGGAAACCAGGCCCAGTGAAGGCCCACAGTTTTCGAAAACTGAACAATGGGTGCTTTATGAATAGAAATGGAGAAAGGCGGGGGAGGGGAGGGATATTAAGCATTTTCACATAGGGGAATAAATAAATTCACACATTAACATCAACTGTTATGCTGTTAATTATTTGTCATTATTTACCGTAAATCCAAGAAAACTGTTAATTCAAAGAGGCAAAGCATAATATTTTACTTACACCACATATGGCATAGTGTTATCAATTTACTTTCGTAATAAATTACACTAGGTCTTGCAAAGTCAGTTCTAGGAAAGCCTTATATTTTTTTTCATAAACTTTGATGTGGAAGATCAGTTAGCAACTCTTAAGACAACTAGAGTACTTTGCAAAGGATCAATTTTCAATTTTTAACAACTCAGTTTTTAATAATTGTTTAAATTATTTCCTCATCTATTATCCTAAATTCTACTGCTCAAATAAAAAAGTCTGAGATAATAAAAAAAGAATTTGTGCTTGTATACATCAATACTCAGAATATATAATGCTAGAGAGTTTTTTTAAAAAAACAACCTTCAACCTTAGGTTGCATATTCCTTTAATATAATTCTTATTTAGAATTCCAAAATGAAAGCCTTTAGTAACAGAAGGGCCTTAAAGTCAGGGCAATCCATAGATGATGGAATCTTTTCAAGAAACAAAATGTACAAAAATAACTATGGGTGCAACTATTCATTTAAGAAATTAAAGGAAATAGCTGTTTTCTTCACACAGAGGATCATTGTTTCCTCCGTATACTCATTCAATAATTACACTGGCTAGTAAAATATCACTCTCATTCCATCATCTCCCATCCCTGACAACCATTAGAAAGAAGAAGCAAAGACTTATTGTATTTGAGATCAAACGTATTCCATGCCAGGAACAGCATAGGAAAGAGAAGTACAGATTTTTAAATACTAAAGGCATTTTTTAATCATTAACTGAAACAATTTATTGCTTAGAGCAGCTTTTTCCTCTCTGGATACTTCCACATGTTTTAGAATATAACTTTCACTCACTCCAAATGACGTAGTCAGAGGTTAGGGCTGATGAAAATTAGAGTTAAACGCATTTAGAGGGAGACTGATTGAGCACAATACTTAAAGGAGGCTCAGTCTCCACCAATCCCTGAGTTGCTGCATCAATTACTGACTTAAAATAAGAAGAAAGCAACTGCAGAAAAGTGACTCATCCAGACACACAACAGGCAATCAAGAGACCAAGTTAATTCTCTTGAATCTTCAGAAACATCAAAATGTTCCATTAATATATTTTGACAGCTTATAGTGAACCTGAGCATAAACTAAGCATATCTTAAGCAAATGTTACTGTGACCAGTAATTCTTCACACTACTACCCTTTCTGTGACACAATGGGTGTTCTTCAATAAAATACCAGGGAAATGATCACCTATGTTGACCCCACCATCACTCTTATGACCCATACTAACCTTTTCATCTTCTGGTATAGGTATTTTCTGATCAAAGTAGGTGGTAAATTCATCTGCAGAGTCCGAGGCCTGTGGCGTTACTGGGTTGCTGTAAATGGTACTAACACCATCCCCAGAGGTATCTTCTGCACAGCAAGAACAGAATGATGTGATAAGGGAAGTGGAGAAGTAGGAAGAGCAGAAGAACAGCAAGACAGATGTAATATACAGAGAAGTGCATCATGTTATGCTTCATCCACTGGGGGAAAAAAAATCTCATGCCATTTGAAAATGTTACCCATTATAGTATGGAACCAATACATTTGCAGGGAGCCAGGTAGGGGCAAGATATCTAACCTATATCTGCACAAGGAACTTAAATTAACAAAGGTCGAATTAGCTGTTACTTGCACCCAGTAACTGAACACACACACACACACACACACACACAACCAAATTGTTGTCATTTATGCAAAGGTATATGGAGATTCTCGGTCATCCATGTCATGGTTGTATTATTCACAATTATGCAAAGGTATTTCATCCTTAACTACACAAATAAAACAAAACAGAAAACTGAAATTTGATTCAAAGAGACACATACAGTTAGATAGGAATGCCTGCCTCTATACAGCATGTATGGTCTTTCCCAGAACTGCAACTAAACACAGACAACTTGATAGCTACTCCAGTCCCCAGATGTAACTCTTAGATGACACCCATTCATTATCTAAGATCCTGCAGGATGAGCAGAAAAAGGAGAAAGAGAGGCCCTAGTATCCTGGCCTGGGCAGTATAAAAGATGACACTGGGATGACCATGGTGGATCTGGAGGAGTCAGTGTGAGGAAGGGGGCATGGAGAGTGTTGATCCATACAGTGGCCAAGGACGGGACATGGCTGAATGGCTGATGACCACGACAGTCCAGACTGATGGAAGTGTTAAGACTGACAAAGAGCCTCTAGCTTTGACAGAAAGGGAGTTCTATAAATTTATATGGGTGATTTTCTGCTGTGGCTATAGAGTTTTCTTGTAATGAAAACTCTTCGGACATTTCCTATATTCCCAGTTGTATGTTGAAGCCTAAAGGCTGCTTTTTGAATGTTCATTTGATTACAATTACAGTTAGACCGCTTCTGGCTCTCCCCCTGCAAGGTGTAGAATTCTGGGATAAGAATGTTTCTTTTTTTCCCCCCAATCTATGTAGCATGGGAAATAATTTGCTCTCCTCCCTACTTAACTATCACATAACCATCGCTTCCCTTTCCTTATCTGTTTGTTTGAGAAATTATATGTTTGATTGAACATCTACAGGGTGGGAATCTGGCCTTTCTTAATATTCTCACCTTGCAGACATGCAATCTACTCTGTTTATGTCTGCTTAAAAGAATTTATTTTGATATGCTCAATTGTAACCCTACAGTTGCCGACTCATTTTTTTCTCTCCCAAACCTACCTTTTTTTCCCATTTGAAATTCTTGCATATTTTATTCATTCATGAAAGAGTTTCTGATCTTATTTCCTTATCTACAACTTAGTGGTTACTCACTTCTGGAGCCCAAATGCTGGACTGGGCTGATCTTCAAATCTATTCATTGAAATACAAGCATTTACCTTGTTAATGGGCTCTGTAGCTATACTTTCCCCTAAACTTAGATCATTAATCTGGACATTCTATTAAAACCACATCTTGATTTTTTTGGGGGGGAGGAAAGCATTGGAAATAAATTAAATCTCTTCCATCACCCTAGCAAGAAATAGATCAAAGGGTTATAAGGACATCATGTTCTTCAGAAGGCATTCACAATACCCTATACTTCTCAAAATAGCAAAATAACCCAGCCACAAGGAAGAAGGTACGTCTGCAGAGTTTCGCAAACACATACAATAATTTTATACTACCACCTTCCCCTGTAGGAAAGCAGGCTGCAACTGTACTCACTCTTGTATTCAAGTTTGTATTCTCCACGGGGCATTATAGCTCAGCTCTGCTTCCAGAGATCAAAAAAACAACAACAGACTGACACCTGCCTCCTCAGGATGTACAGAAGTGACCAATTTATAGCTAGAAACAGGAGCGGTAAAGAGAGAGATTCAGGGACAGTGGCTGTTTTGTTGATTGAGACGATGAACTTGGGTTTCTCCTCCTACGACTCTACGCACTCCGCCTTCCAAGGAACAGGATATGCCACTCAAGTTTACACGAGAGCTTTAATGCAATAGCCACCCTGTGTTATGAAAAAGCACGAATCAAACAGCTACGCTCACCTTGCTCAGCTAGTTAACCAAGGATGAAAAAGTCTAAGGAAAAGTAGGTAGCACACAACTCGAACCTGTTGCCAGCAATTTCCCCGAAGCTGCACAGTAAATAATAAGCAACTTGACCCAAGAGGTAAACTCCGGCAAGACTTTTGGCAGACAGTCAGCTAATGGAATGTCCTCTCTTAAGACGGTATGTTAACTGCAGATCAGCAAGGAAAATAGTCTGTTCTACCAGGAAATAATAGAATGGTTTCTATTCATAACCTACTGGCAGGGCAGCTTATTCAGGAGGAAGATGATTAGCAATCTTATGCAGAAGTACAATGAGAGAGCAGGACATTTCAGCTGGAGGATTTAAATCGGGAATTTCCCAGATTTAGGCTTCAGCTGGAGGATTTAAATTGGGACGTTCCCAGATTTAGGCTTCATTCTGCACTAGGTGAATGTACAGATTCAAAAGGATTTAGCCCCAAGTGGTGCTCTACTTTAGGTAGCATTCCAAAAAGCTAGGGGAACTGTATATGATGTATTTTTTTAGGGATCTCTTCTGGGTTTTTTTGTTTTACTGAGGCCAAACCAATGACCTCTGAACACCCCCAGATTTACTTCTGGAAGTCCATCAGGCCCTCCCTTTTATAAAACAAGCCACTTTTTATACCCTTACATTTCCCTCTTGACAATACCAGGACAACCTGAAATTGCACAAGCTTTTGTTTGTATCAGAGAAAGGGGCAAAGTTAAGAGCCATACAGGGATCACATCAAAGGCTGGTCTACTCCAGTATTCTGATCCCTCCGTGGCCAAAACCAGATGCCTTTGCTATGGGGCTCGCAGGCGCTCACCGCAGGCAGTCCTTGACTTACAACCATTTCATTTCATGACTGTTTGAAGATACGACGATTCTGAAAAAAGTGATTTATGACCGTTTTTCACACTTACCATTGTTATAGCATCCCTGTGATCACGACACCAAAATTTGGACGTTGGGCAACTGGCTTGTGCTTATGACTGTTGCAGCGTCTCGGGGTCATGTGATCCTCTCTGGCAACTTTGCGACCAGCAAAGTCAACGGGGAAGCCAGATTCAGTTCACAACTGGATTACAAACTTAACAACTGCAGTGCTTCACTTAACTACTGCAGCGAAAAAGGTCATAAAATGGGGGCAAAACTCGCTTAACAATGGTCTTGCTTAGCAATGGAAATCCAGAGCTCACTACTGTAGTCATAATTTGAGGACTGCCTGTACTGTCATCAGAATAATGAAAACAGCATTGTGGTATCACGTTGTAAGTCAGGGGTCTTCAAACATGGCCCTTTTATGACTTGTGGACTTCAGCTCCCAGAATTTCTCTGCCAAGCATGGCCAAGTTTGAATACCCCTGTTGTAAACTCTGCCCATTCTGGGCTTCAGATGTTGCAATATACATCAAACAGAAGTGGGCCTGGGGTTGCAATGCCACACTGTGGCTTCTTTCAGTCTACCCCCCCCCCGTCCCTCCAATTCTGCTATGCTTCTGGGAAGCTCATAAACAGATAAGACTGCAATTGTACTAATGCATGCTAATCTTTCCTACTAGAGGCACACTGGCTTACCAGAATTAAAATGGAGCCATCATGACTAGTAGCCACTGAGAGGATTATCACCCATGAGTGAAAATGTTTTTTAAAACCATCCAAACAGAGAATGGGTCAGGGAAGAACAATCTCTACTTTAGCTATGCACTGTGTGAATCATTTTGGATCAAAATAAAATAAAATAAAGATAGGTATAACATCAATTAAAAAAATTATGCAAACTATCATTTTGATTCTTTTGAGATTTTGTCTCAAGTCAAGGAGTACCTCTCCTTTTAACAGACTGGATCTTTAATCCTTTCAAATAATGTTCTAGAATTTGATTTCTTTTCATTTTTTCTTTGTCCCCAGAAAATCTTTTAAAACTTTAATAATTTTTTTGTAAATCAAATAGAGGAAAGTTATCCAGGTCACTTTTAATTATGAAGACATCAGCTGGTTTCATTATTATATCCAGTGTATCCATATCATTCTTATAGTCTGTCATTTTTAAATCCACTTTCAAACGATCTTGGTCTTGTCAGGTAAAACTTTTTTTTTCCGTAGCAACTTTTAAACAGTCTATCCATAATGGCAGACACTCTTAAAATTAACTTCTGGGTCCATTGCTCAAAATATTCTTCAGTATGTCCATGTTAAAGAATTTTGCTCCATTCTGTATTAGTGAGTCAAATTTGTTTCTCTCCTTTAATTGCAATTTTTAATTCCTTCTCATTCCCTTTAGTGTCCAACCTTTAAAGTCTCAACCTATTATGGTTTTATTTTAAGAACTAAGAACAACCACATTTTCCCATGGGAAGAATTCTTATAATTAATTTCAAAAACTTATTTCAAATTCATCTGGACCCCTTCCAGATTTAATGTTCTAATCAAAATAAAAATTTTAAGTCCTAAAACTTAAAACATCTTTTGCTAAGGAATGAAGGCAGCTCACCTGAGGCTATAAAACTGATAGATCAAAAGATTCCTAATAATTTACAGGCAGCAATTTCTGAACATGATTAAGAAACGAGGCTCGGCAAACTTTAGGTCCACATAGGCTACGTTACAGGTAGTCCTTGACTTATGACAATTGAACCCAAAATTAATGTTGCTAAATGAGACAGGTGTTGTCAGGTCCCCAAATCCTTATTGTTTTCCCTGCATATGTGCTCTTGTTTTGAGGCCTGCCATTCTGCGTAGGGGAGGGGGGAATTTGCTTTCCCTTGGGCAGGAGTAGGCAACCTTGGCTCTTTTATGACTTGTGGACTTCAACTCCCAGAATTCCTGAGCCAGCCATGCTGAGGGGAAAGGGAGAGGCTTCCAAGCTGAGCCATGCTGGCTCAGGAATTCTGGGAATTGAAGTCCACAGTCATAAAAGAGCCAAAGTTGCCTACCCCTGAACTTGGGATAACTTTTGCTTTCTACCTTTCCTCTCCTACCTCTATCCACTTGAGAAAGGAATGTGTCTCCTTTATTAGGGAGACGGTTGCAGAGAAACGAAACTGGAGAAGACCTTGAGATGAGGGCCAACTGTGCCAGTTACCCATACATTGTGCCACCTGTGGATTGGCTGGATTTCAAATGGACATTATGACTCTGGTGGGAGGAGAAAGATTGCTGATTTAACTATACCGTTTTAGCAGGATTCTCCCCAGATCTCTCCTTGACTTCCCTACTGTCACCAACTCCTAATAAAAGTTTCCTTTTGAGGCAATGCCTGTTTCAAGAGTTCTGCTCCCTTGGGTGGCTAGCTGAGGTGGGTCCCTCCAGGTGTTTAAATTGAGTTTTGTGCCATTTTATGATTTTTCCTGCCACAGTTGTTAAGTAAATCACTGCAGTTATTAAGTTAGTAGCATGGTTGTTAAGTGAATCCGGCTTCCCCATTGACTTTGCTTGTCAGAAGGTCTTGAAAGAGGATCACGTGACTCTAGAACATTGTAACTGTCATAAATATGAGTCAGTTTGCCAAGCAGATGAATTTTGATCACGTGACCATGGGGATGCTGCAACGGTCGTAAGTGCGAAAAACGATCATCAGTCACTTTTTTCAGTGCTGTTGTAACTTCAAACAAATGGTTGTAAGTCAAGCACAATTCCCTGCTGTACATTTGTGAGCTTGATTGAAATTCCACAATTCCCTGCTGTTCGATTCACAGGCTGTAATGAAATGTGTGAATGATCTGGAAAAAAGAGGAGAATAGATGCTGTCCAGAAAACAACCCAACAAGAGAAGCAGGATTAACCCTGAAGGATTAACGGTCAGAAAAAGAAAATTAGGAAGGATCTGCCTTAATTGATCAGACAGTTAAAAGCGGGAATGGGAAGTTTACCTTCAGATGGTTCTGTTAATGTTGCCTGACAGTAAAGTAGAATTAGTTCATCTAGTCTTGTTTCCTGTCTGGTTTACTCTGAGGGATGACACAAGCTGACCACAATAAAACTCAGTTCCTGTAGTCTACTCTAGACTACTGTGTAGAGTAATTGCCCAGAATGCAAATGGGTAATCTCTCCTTTTTCCAGAAAGATTTTGTTGAACAGAATTCACTGGCTACTTATCTCTGCCACCAGGCTACCTTTGCTCCTTCAGGGATGTCTAATTCACCATGAATCCCTACTGGAAATCTACAAGTGATGCATTTTTTTCTAACTTTATTTATTTTCATGAGAAATAAATATATTTTACAATCTCTAAACCCCCTAATCAATACACTCAATTTACTATCTTAGCCATACTGGAGATATTTTGTGTATTTTACTGATTATAAACTCTATTTAATAATAATACTGTGTGAAGAAATATTGTAGAAGTTGTTTCTATGTAGACCTATATCAAGGGTAGGCAACCTTGGTTCTTTTATGACTCGGTGGACTTCAACTTCCAGAAAAGTCCAAGAGTCATAAAAGAGCCAAGGTTGCCTACCCCTGACCTATATCAATAAAACTAAGTGCTAATTTACATGACATTATTTCTCTTTTCACATCCACTAATTGTCTCCTTCTTCTCAATTCCTTTGCTTCTATGACTAAGTATCAACTGCCTCTTTCCTCATATATTTCTCTCCCTTGCTAATTTTCTGCCTCAGTTTCCTTACAAGTTAACTCAAGTTAACTCTCTGTATACATTTTCTCAATGCAATGATCTGTTGTTTGATCACATTTTCCCACTTTGTGTTATATTTTCTTCCAGAAAATTGTGACTGCACAATCAAATTTTCACAGAATTTGAATTCCAACAGCTTAGAAGGGAAGCAAAGGAACTAAAAAGGGAATTAAAAGCAAGGAAATATTTCTACTTTAGCTATCTGAATTTACAACTAAATCTGCTAAGTATCTATATTTTATCTGCAACTAGAAACTTGAAAATCTGATAGGTAAGAGGAGATCTATTTAAAAATATTTTGAGATTCAGACAAATATACGTTCTATTATAATTTCATAATTCACAAACTTCTCACAACACAAAAAAATAAAAGGCAAAATAACTAAAC